CTGACACGTTTCTTTCCGCAGACAAGACTCGCCTATCTGGCTGCCGGAGTCGCCACCGAAGACATGGCGGTGAGTAACGACTCTGTTGGACGCCCTTGCCGTACGACTTACTGTAATCAGACGTGTGGATATTGTAGCCTCCGACGATGATCGAAGTGTGGACGAATGGAACGCGCTCCCGAATGTGGTCACTGTATACCACACCGCAGAACGCCGCAAGAAACACATAGTACCCGATCTGCAACCACACCTTCTCTCCTTCGCCAAAACGCATCGTCTTGCTCATGGAGCGATCTCCCACCTCCCGCTCACACCCACGCTTGTCAGAGCGAACAAACACATTACATGGCGCCCGGGACGTGTTGGCGAAGACCCTTTCAATCGTCTTCCGTACGAGATTTGGGAGGCGATCTTTGTTCTTGCGGTTCGCGAGGCTGGTGACGATCAAATTCGGTTTCTGCTCCGTTTGGCCTCTCTCAACAAGACGTGGGCGAACAAGATCCGTCGAGCTCAGGTTCTTTGGCGCTTTGCTTTTGCGTCAACAAGGACGGCTCCCCAGCGATTCATTGTGAACTCGCTTGCCGGTTCTAGTCGTCTTCGCATCAGGACATACGACCGCCCTCGCTCGCTTGCGGCATACCTCGGCAATGCCATTTCCATCTCGATCGTCCATCACGGCGCCTGTTGGCTACAATCGCTTCAAGCGCGCTCTATGGCTTCACCTACGCCCATGAATATACAGTGGCTGTCAGCCGAGGACTATTGTTCAAAGACCATGAACATCGAGAGCGCCTTCAAAGGGCTCAAAGTTCGACAACCTGTCGCTTTCATACCGGATAACATCGAAGTTCTCGACGTAGGAGGATTCTTTACTCACAGCAGGCTTCGAACCTTCCTCAATATTGGCGGACATCAGCTGCGCGAGCTGTGCGTACAGTCTGAGTGGATTGGTGTCGACAACCACGAGAGCGTCCCTTGGCAAGTGGCTCTGCAGCCTCTGTTGGGCCCTCAATGTACCCTCGAGGTACTCCGAGTTCTCGTCGACGATCTCTGCGATATCGAGACCTTCAATGTCCAACAGCTGGACTTCCCCCGGCTACAGGTTTTCGAGACGCATAGCATCCTCATCCTCCGGACTCCTCCACAACTTGCGCGCGCAAGTGTCACACTCTCGAACACGGATAAACTGCAACGCGTCTTACCATCCCTCGTCCACGTCAACCACCTCACTGTCGTGGTTACAAAACCATGGGGCGAGCCTCTGCCGCCTGCTGCAACGGATCTTATTGCCAGTATACCGACTTTCCAGCGCGTACACTTCAGCCAGCTTCGACATCTATCATTCATGTCGGGGAGGAAGGAGGGTGATGCAGCGCTCACGTCCTTGCTCTACCATGAAATGTCACCAAGGCGCATCTCCGTTCAGACGGACATTAGTTCCGTTTTACCCATGGGCGGCAATCCCTGGCACGATCACCCACCTGTCGTTAGTCGTATCCGGTTGGCGAACCTACGGCTCGCTATGGACGGTCTGCGGACTTTCGCCAGTATACGTCGTGATCCCTTCTTGAGGATCATGATGAAGTCATGGGGCAGTCCGAGCGCGATCATGTCCTTGGGTGGTAAGGACATCATGGATGATCGGCTATACTGCTCAGTGCAGGACCTGGACGGGATACACATTGACACCGATCTAACGCCGCGCGAGCCTTGGAATTCGGCTACTCCGCTTGATGGTTCCGGTTTGACGACAGTTCACGCGCTCTCAGGTTTGGCAACCGAGTACGTCCAAACCATATGATTGCAAGATTATTGTACCAAGAAGACGTATCCGCCCGGCATCATGAGCAGCCCTCCCCAGTCTGAATGGGAAGAAGATTCACAGCCTTCGGCGGACTGGGGTTCTTGGGGCAATCCGCAGGCGCACATTCCGTGGGGCTCATCTTCCAAGGCGCCCAGTGGTCCTGAACTATTCGACGGACTTTATGCAGCAGACCCTCGCGACATCGCCAGTCTGGATCACAATCTCTTTCGCATGGTAGCGGTCGAGCACATCATCATCGACACCAAACTCTACTTGATTGAGCACGGAGCCATGATTGTGCGTCAACTCGTCACCAACAACACTCGTGAGTTGAAGCAGCCGCACGCCGCCGTCACTTGTCCAAGGTTACAGAACATCACCTTGAGTGTGCGCGGGAAAAGATCCGCGCGCATGTACGGAACGTTGTGGACAGAGTTGGAGGACCTGACATCGATTCGATCAGTCCTGGCGAGCGATGGTCGGTGCGTGCGCATGAAGTGCCTGACGCTTGAGGGCAACATCTGCATCTGCAAGAAGCCGCTTCTCGATGCTCATATCCTCAAGCGATTCCAATCCACGATTGCGACGGTGACGTTAGATGTGCCCGACGGAGGCTGCCAGAACTGCGCGTAGAGGAAACGAGGGTCCGCAATGGGAATTGAACTGCCGATATCTTGTGTAATCTCGTCTAGTAATTTATGTGCGTGATTAACTGTTATTGGATGTAATTGCAAGAACGG